GTGGTGTCTTTCATGATAATGCTGTTGTTCAATATGAGCTGCCAAATCTTTTTGTAATCATTTAGAATTAGTGACCATTTTGATAAGGTTTGGTGTCCAGTTTTTTGGGGGCTGTTATCAATGTTACATAGTCGAATAAAGTTGCAACTAGGCGGCTGCAGTTTGGCCACTGAGCTGCAGACCCAGTCGAACCAAGTACACACCTTTTTGTACTGTCAACTCCTGCCTTGTTTCTGGGGGACCTAAAGCGCCCAGTGAACAGTCTGTTCTGATGTCGTGCAGCGTACAACATTCTGTCCTTATCATGTTGTTCCAGGTTCTGCCACAGGCCCGCAATGGCCTTTCTCATTTCTTAGTTCCACCAAATACTCTGTAAGCTGGTCGACACGATCCATTCCAGGCGTACTGTGCTCATCCACAGCCTAAGAAGAAGTATAAACATTAGCCCTCAAGAATTACTGACAGCGATCATTACTGTGCTTCATGAGAGTTTAAGTTACAGCTTTCTGTGAAGACTGGCTAGATAATCCAGACTGGATAGCAGACAGGAGAGTGGACTGAGGAGGAGCAGTCTGGACAGTGGAAAGGTGAGTGGACTGAGGAGCAGATTCACCTGCTGGCTCAGAGGGAGAGAGAGCAAATGGAAGTGGAGCTGTATCTATAAGTAAATCAGTTAGAGTGGCATCACTGCTGTCAATGTCCTCAAAGCCCTCATCTGTCTCTGAAGGCTGCTGCTCCGCTAACTGCGCCAGCAGCTTTCTTGCCTCCTCAGAATCTGGTGACATATCCTGAAGTGGCTCGTTATTCTGCCTCAGCAGGTACAGCAATCCAGTGAGTTCACCTGGCAATATAAATACAAAACTATTACAAAAAAAACTTACAGGAAAATGAAAATGATTAAGAAAACATTTATGCACTACCTGTATTTTGCAGGGGGAGTAAATGAAGAAACCAGTTTCTTACCAAAAACCTCCTCATAATCAGTGTTCACACCATGAAGCAGCTCTCCAGAGTATGTGCGGAGGCCAAATGTATCCCCCTCAATAGCAGCAGTCGCCCTGTCTTGGTTCCAGTGATGTAGCCCATCCAGCAGGTACATCTGGAAGTTAAAGGAGTTTGCGCTGTTTCCTGAAATAAATGCCACAAATGTTTGAACAGGGCAATGTATTCATCTTTAAACAGAAGCAGCATTATGAGACTGCACCTCCCTGGAATGAACCAGTTTAAGTGACAGTGGAATGATTCCAAAGATGTGGAACCTCTGGCACAGCGCAGTGTCTGGAGCTGGACTCCTCCTTTAGTGTTGGTGCCAGTCTGAGTGTACAGTGCCACACCAGGTGGGTCCTGAATACACTTGACATGCCTCTTCTGAACACGCCAGATGTTCTTGATGTGATGATTATCAAAGTTCATGTCTGTTTTCACATAAAGTTAAATTCTGCATAAAACACAGAGCGGTGTTTTTAGGGGAAGATTCACTTTCATAATTCAGAGGCAAATGTCCATGCAGAGACAGCGATGGTATACAGGAGTAATGTGTCCATCTTTTCATTTTCCTGTTTTTATATTATTTTCAGTCAGAATTCTGCTCTTGCTGCATTCACAGGATGCCCACCACATTTGCCACGGCAACAGAGTCAGCGTTATATCCAGGCCTTATAATATTCTATATTATTGCCCACACTCCTTTAAACACTAAATGCAAAGTTCCACCAGGAGGCGCCACTTCCCTGTGTGTGCACACTCCTCTTTCCATGTCTAAGTAGAGCCTGATTTCAGATGCCTCTGAATGTTCGAAAATGATGCTCTTATGCTTTAAACAGTGTTGGGAAGGTGGCTTTTAAAATGTATTCCCCTACAGATTACAGATTACACACACCAAAAAGCAGTTTGTAACGTAATCCATTAAATTACTTAAAGTGAGTAACGTAATCTGAATACTTTGGATTACTCAGTTTGCTGTAAAGAAGCAAAGACATCATAACATAAGATGTTTTGTCTGCTAAAAGAAAATAAAAAGCCCAGACTTTACTCAACCATATTAAAAATATTACTGATAGAAGACGAGACACGTCCATGCAGCATGATTTAGTCCTGTTAAATCCTGTTTTAGTCCTGGTTCAGTCCTGGTTCAGTGCTGGTTTAGATCTGGTTTAGACCTGGTTTAGACCTGGTTTAGACCTGGTTTAGACCTGGTTTAGACTTGGTTTAGTCCGGGTTTAGACCTGGTTTAGACCTGGTTTAGCCCTGGTTTATACCTGGTTTAGATCTAGTTTAGACCTGATTTTAGTCCTGGTATTAGTCCTGGTTTATACCTGGTTTAGATCTAGTTTAGACCTGGTTTAACCTTGGTTTAGACCTGGTTTAGATCTAGTTTAGACCAGATTTTAGTCCTGGTATTAGTCCTGGTTTAGACCTGGGGGGGGGGGGTATAGCCCAAAATGCGAAAACAGGAAAATACCCCTGTGTAATCCATTTATTTATTACAAAGTAACTGTAATCTAATTACCACTCTCTGAAAAAGTAACTGTAACTGAATACAGTTACTCATAATTTGTACTCTGATTACGTAACTCCAGTACATGTAATCTGTTACTCCCCAACATTGGCTATAAACAATACTCCAGCACAGTTTAAAAAGCATTTCTTTAATTGAATAAAAAAATCAAGACATTGATTGAACTTCATAATCAACATAAATAAGTGCACATGTAAACATTATGAAATCATCTCAGAATTAAAAACAGCATCAGGATCAGATGTTTGAATGGAAACAGCAGCACTAAATGAGTTACGTTTATGGGGACAGGGGCGGGGGGACTTCAAGAACACATTTTCAGGAGATCAGTCTGAGCTTTCATGGTCCTGGTGAGTTTGATTTTCAACTAAAAGGTGACTAAACTGCTAATGCTTGTGACTGTAATGTTGTTTTAAAGTAGTTATAATTAAATCAGTTCGTTCTGGTCAGATTGTGTTCAAACGAAACTCAAATTAATCCAGACCGAGCAGTGCCTCTCGTTAGTTTCACCAGGGAATAATAATGATCAGCTGCACAGTATCAATAGTCCACGAGGTCACAAATGTGTAAGATTGTAGGAAGTAGGATTGGAACACTTCTATAATATTCAACAAAGTGCATATGATATTTCTGATACTTGAAACATCATTTGGCAAATAAAGGTGTTTCCTTATCATTTGTTAGTCATTAGAGCGCAGTGCAGTACAGTTACAGAATTCCTTAGTGCGATGTCATAATTACCAACCAGGATGTACAATTTAAAACCTAAAAAATGGTCAGAGTTTTGTTTATTTTTTAAATATAAGTGACTTGGGTTGGTTGGACAGTACCTGGAAAGGAATCTGAGCTGTTCTCATACTGAATACTGAATATCCATCCAAAATGCAAAAACAATTTACCCAATTTTTTTGTCTTTCTTCAACCTTCATTTAAGAAAATAAAAGTGCTGTCATTTATTTTTATTTGTCTAATCGTAACTTGTGTGTCATTTAGACAAGTTTTGGCTCTTATTATGGTTGCTAGGTAACAATTATGCAATAACCTCTTCGTATATTACAATCAAGAAGTACAATTATTAGCTTTACCAGAATTTAAAAACCAGACAAAGCTTAGTAAAATGTTAAATATGAAGATGTTTAGTAAAAAAGTGCGAATGATGTCCTATATGCTTTAAGTGAAGACTGAGGGGTAGGGTTTGTTTGGCTTTCACAAAGTGCTCTTCAGCAAGATCAGTGCAAATAAACATCTTCATTTCATTTACATTTAGGTTTTAAAGGTCCTATATTACAAAAAACTGACTCTTGTGATCTGACTCTTACGTCATGTTCTAATGTTGTTACCTCCTCATAAACAGACCTGGACTTGTGTTTTGTTTCATTCACACATGTTTGAGTTATGATCCAAATGATTCTAGTGAAGGTATGGAGTAAAAACACAGTGGAGCGCTTTCTGTATTACCCCATGACATGACAAGGTGGAACAGAGTGTGTTCTGTTTGAGAGAAGAACTAAATGTGCAGGGTTTGTGGTGTGTTTGTGATGAGGAAAGTTCAGTAGAACAGATCAGAAGAACATGTCAGATTGGTCTTTTAAATGAACTCTCCGTCACTTTTCTGATGTAGATATTATTACTTTGCTTGGAATGTCAGAGTATTTCACAGTATAAGATGATATGTAGAGATGATGATCCATCTCTACAAAGACAAGAAAGTGACAGCATCTAGCAAAGTTACAGGTCAGATCTGTGGAGAGGTGACCCTGCTACAGTAAGAGCATATGTTGCATGTATATTTGAATTATAAAACACAGAGATCAGTTCAAAATGCAGTACCATGCTCTGGAACTTTCCAGGTGCGTCTATATACATATATATCTTCACCAGAAAAGTTACATAGTGCTCCTTTAACTCACAGAGAAACAAAGCTCCAGTGCATTTGACTATGTACCATTATTATATTATATTATTCATTAAACATACTTCTGATTCATTGTATATTAAATATCTATCACTTCAGAGTCCTGTACATTAGTAGCTTTAAATGCAGTCATTTTTTATCAGAAACACTTTATAATAACTACACCTTATTTAGCCTTAATAAAGCATGAACAAAGGCTTAATTAATAATGAACAAAGACTTAATTAATAATGATTCACACTTAGTAACTACTTAATTACTACCTTAATTCGCACTTGCACTTCATTCGCCTGTGCTGTAAATAGTTACTCATAATTATTTCATACTTAATTACTCATGAACTAACCATTTGAGCATTTATTAATCATTAGTAAACTATGAGAGAATGATTTACTAATAATACAATGTAATGATAATTCAGGCAGCTGTTATCTGTTAAGTCTTTTGGAGAGCTTTTCTAAAGTGAAGACTAATTATCCTTTATTAAACATTTACTAAGCGTGAATCATTTTTAATTAAGTCTTTGTTCATTATTAATTAAGTCTTTATTCATGCTTTATTAAGGCTAAATAAGGTGTAGTTATTATAAAGTGTTACCTTTTTATCATTAATCATAAGATTTATAGATCATTACAATATTAAGTGCGGCTCTGAGGATCTCCGGGTTGTTCCCTTCATTTGTGTGAGTCACATCATGTACAGTTACACACAGCTCATCCACAGAGCAGCAGCCACAGCAGAGGCAGGAGCAGGTGGGACGCCAGCAGGAGGGAGGGGCTGAGTGCAGAGGGGGCGGGGCTACTGGAGGTGGAGTTGGACGTGGAGTTGGAGCTGGGGGCAGATGTGGCCGTTGCCGCCGGGGACAGGAACGTGCCCAGGCGGGAGGAGAGGAACTCCTTAAAGGCGCTCACTTTGGTAAAGCTCATGACGGCCTCTCGGGTCTGCGGGCTGCTGCTGTTGGACAGAACCACGGCCTGGAACCAGGAGCTGCCCAGTTTACACATGAGAGGCCCCCCGAGGTCCCCCTGAAGCACAGGACAGAGCAACACACCAGTCAGCAGGGCACACGCAAGGGGCCCGCGCTGGAGGACTAAAGGGAGAGTGAGGGGGGAGGGGTGTGGAGGACTAAAGGGAGAGTGAGGGGGGAGGGGTGTGGAGGACTAAAGGGGAGAGTGAGAGGGGGAGGGGTGTGGAGGACTAAAGGGAGAGTGAGGGGGGAGGGGGAGGGGTCTGGAGGACTAAAGAGGAGAGGAGGGGTAGGGGTGTGGAGGACTAAAGGGAGAGTGAGGGGGGAGGGGTGTGTGGAGGACTAAAGGGAGAGTGAGGGGGAGGGGTGTGGAGGACTAAAGGGAGAGTGAGGGGGGAGGGGACGGGTGTGGAGGACTAAAGGGGAGAGTGAAGAGGGGAGGGGTGTGGAGGACTAAAGGGAGAGTGAGGGGAGAGGGGTGTGGAGGACTAAAGGGAGAGAGGAGAGGGGAGGAGAGGGGGTGGAGGGTGTGGAGGACTAAAGGGAGAGTGAGAGGGGAGGAGGAGGGGTGTGGAGGACTAAAGGGAGAGTGAGGGGAGGAGGGTGTGTGGAGGACTAAAGGAGAGTGAGAGGGGAGGGGTGTGGAGGACTAAAGGGAGAGTGAGAGAGGGAGGGGTGTGGAGGACTAAAGGGAGAGTGAGAGGGGAGGAGGAGGGGTGTGGAGGACTAAAGGGGAGAGTGAGGGGAGAGGGGTGTGGAGGACTAAAGGGAGAGTGAGGAGGGAGGGGGAGTGGTGTGGAGGACTAAAGGGAGAGTGAGGGGGGGAGGGGTGTGGAGGACCAAAGGGGAGAGTGAGGGGGGAGGTGTGTGGAGGACTAAAGGGGAGAGTGAGGGGGAGGTGTGTGGAGGACTAAAGGGGAGAGTGAGGGGGAGGTGTGTGGAGGACTAAAGGGACAGTGAGGGAGGGAGGAAAGAGTCTGTAGGTCTAATGGAGAATGTGATAACATGTTCACTGCTAAAACAAAGTATAACATCAGCTGGTTTGTGTAAAATGTAAAATGTCTGTGTGATCACACTGCACCGATCCTCTGGAGGCTTTAAAACCACTTTGTAGTCTGTATAGATTTTTTTTTTTATTGTGACATTGGCAAAATAATACTACCCCAATGAAGATGGCGGCACCAACGGCATCACCCAAGCTTAGACCATGTGCTGATCTGTTCATCTATAAACCACTAATAAAACTACGAACAGCAGCCTGGACCTCACCTTAGACCCCACCCACAGACTCTTTATATAAATGGATATAACCCTCTCTGTATGATCCTGATGTCTGTATTTAGCTATTGTCCTAATATGGAACTCAGCTCCAAATACACTCCTATAAATACAAGCCTCACTGAGCTTCATTTGACTGGAGCCAAATGTTATGGCTGACATCACACTCACTTAATTCACTTCTATATACAGTCTGTGACCGTGGGGCTGTACCTGCTGCAGAGTGAAGACCCCGGTGCAGAGGGTGTCTGAGGAGGAGGCGTTCCCGCAGCTCATGATGGAGGTCTGGGTCTCCTGTTGGGTCTGCTCCCCTGGAGAACAAGAAGTCACTTTCATTAAAACACATTTCCACAGCAGCAGATAGTTTGGTCTCATGGGACTGAACAAAAGGTGAGGCAGAATGCCAGTGGGAGTCTCATGTTGTAGAATGCACTGACCTGTTGCCCCCTGGCTGTAGGCGGCAACGTAGCAGGTCTTTCCCTGAGCGAAGGTGCGTCCGTCGTCCAGGCAGATGGGCTGGATGTGGTTGGACAGAGAGGGTTTGGAGGCCAGAAGAAGCACCGCCACATTTGAGGCACTGCTGTTACTCACAGTGACGTTAGAGACGGCTACACGCTCAGACTGCCCCAGCACCACGCTCCACTGTGACATGTTCAGGGACCTGCACACAGCGAGACACGTCACACACCACTGTACTACACCATCCTACCACTGGAGGCGCCCTGACCTGGGGAAGCAGCTGGCGTCGCTCAGAACGGCGTTCTCCGACACCAGACTCCCTACGCAGACGTGAACCTGATCTTTCTGGACACTGACCACCCAGGGCCACTGCCCACTGGACACAGAGGAACCTCCAGACAGACGACTGTTGAGAGGGGCCTGGCCACACACCACCGCTGTGAGGAGCACACACACATCAGCAGGTGGCTCACACTCAGGTATAACTCATATTCTATTCTGTAAAAAGTGTTATTATAGGTCCACGTAGCAGTGGGCAGGGCTTACGTGGAGGAGCAGTAGTGGTGGTTGGTGTTGTTGTTGTTGTTGGTGTTGTTGTTGCTGCTGCCGTGGCGACAGGGGGCAGACCGGAGCAGGAGACGCTCAGGTCACTGTTGGTCCCAGAGGAGGTGATATTAATGAAGCCGGGCTGGTTCTCTGTGATGTAGCTCAAGATCCAGCTCTGATAACGTGACACTCGAGCGTAGACTCCGGGTTTACCGGCCTCAGCGCAGCCTTCTCCAAAACTCACCACGCCTGCCTGGATCCAAATGCCACTCTGCTTCCTCACCAGAGGACCCCCAGAATCTCCCTGCACAAAGCAGAGGGGCTCGGTCAAGCAGAAGTAAACAGCAAGGCCAAAAATTCAAGTTAGTGCATCTGATATAAAAATGTATTAGCATATGTACTCTAGTTTATGAAACTGTTGACCTTTTTTCTGTACCATTTTTGGTTCTAAAGTTCCATACGTTTTAAACAGACCATGTATGAAACATGGAACAAAAATTATTTCCTAAATTTCAAAGACCTGCAAATCATGTAAATAAATGGATGTATTTCATCATATCTTGTGTTATTCCATCTTTGAACTGTTGATGAAGGTACATGATTTTTTTTTTTTTTTTTATGTATTTAAAATGATAAAAAATTTGCTTGGAAGGACTGACATATTTTATAGAAATAGTTTCCTTTCATTTTGAAGTAATATTAAAGTATTCAGAAGAAAAAAGTTGACAAATTATGTAAAATCATGCACCTTCTACTTGTTTGCACAATTTTCCCTTCGTTACTTTTCCCTCCGTTACCATGACCTTTCTTAATAAAAAATCGTATTAGTCAAAAAGTAAGAGGTTTTTCAACCTAATCTTGTACCATATGGTAGAAAACTATATGAAGCAAATATTCAAACCAGTTTGTTAAGGATATGGAAGTGAGAACCAAGAGTTATCACTGTTTGGATTTATTGCCCAAAAAGTGCTGCATATTTCATTCCCTCCGTTACCAACATGAGTTTTTTATTTTTTGTCAGCAACTTGAAAGAATATCACAGGTTTAACTTTACCCTGTTGGAGTGTAACTCTTTCCTACATTCTGATACTTTACTTATTTCAATAGTCCCTCTAGTTTCTGAATAAGAGACATTTGAATGTAAAAAATCTGACCCTCCGTTACCACTTGACCGGACCCAGCGACTGTGTTCAAAGTGTGTGCTGCCTCCAGTGGCCACTGCTTTCAAGTACTATGTGACATCACACTGTACTAGGCTAATTAAAGCCACACCCCCCACTCTCCCCTCCTCCCCCGCCCCTCCAGGCACTGCGCATTTTAAAAGCTCTATTTGAATGTTCAGTATTGTACATGAAACAGGCAGGTGGCTCAGGCTGTTGCTGCAGGTGCTCACACTGTTACCTGGCAGGAGTCTTTGCCCCCCTCGTCCAGCCCTGCACACAGCATGTTGTCTGTGATGCCCGAGCCATAGGCACAGAAGCACTTCCTGTTCCCCACGATGGGCACCTTCACCTCCATCAGGTTCTGTGGGGAGGGCAGAGGCACTGTGGAGTGAAACAGGACTGAAGTCAGACAGATTTAAATATATATCACCAGTTTTTAAGGTTTTCTAATTGTGACTTGGTTTAGTGGGACAGTGGTAAATATTTATCATAGTTTTACATCAGTTAAGCGGCAGTTTGTGGAAAAATCAGAAAAAATGTACAAAATGCAGGAAGTACCAGTGGGATCAGTAATAAGTTTGATTTTGTGGGTGTTTTATGCACTGACTGAAAATCTGCGTTCACTGTTCATGTACCTTGATATTAAAGCCATACTGGTTTGTTTAAAACAGTGAAAATCATCATGAGGGGGGAGTCTACACCAGAGGCTTTGTTTTTTATACAGTTTGATTGTGCTGTTCAGTTTGTGACATGTACCGGAACACAGTCCCAGATGTCTCACCTCCAAAGGCCACACTGCCCCAGCCCGTGACCCAGACGTTGGTGCCCGCGTACAGGGTGCTCTCCGGGGCAGCCAGGCACACCGGCCGGATGTAGTTGGTGAAGGTGACAGAGGATTCCATCTTGAGCAGGGCCATGTCGTTGTTGTTGGTGTCGCGGTTGTAGTCTGGGTGGTTGATGACCTGGACAATGGAGCGGCTGACCTCGTTCGGGTTGGCATTCTCTTGGCTCTTGCGCCCGATGTACACCGTGTTGTCTGCAGCGATACCGCTGTGGAGGAAACACCAAGTGAGGAGGAAGTCACCATGTTGGTTCTGGGAGTGGGTACTCAAAATGTACTCAAGTAAAAGTATGAAGAGTTCTTGGAGTGTGAGTGTCGTGTTTGGAGTGGCCGATGGCACAGATGGCAGCCAGTTCATCCCAGAACCAAACCAGAACCAAACTAGAACCAAACCAGAACCAAACTAGAACCAAACCAGAACCAAACCAGAACCAAACCAGAACCAAACCAGGACTAAACCAGAACCAAACCAGGACCAAACCAGAACTAAACTAGAACCAAACCAGGACCAAACCAGAACCAAACCAGGACTAAACCAGGACTGAACCAGAAGAAGTGTAAGTGCATCCTAAGAGTACTTGAGAGAAAGTCTCCATTAGACTCCATTAGACTCCATTAGTAGTTGAGGGCCTCACCTCAAGAAGCAGTGCGCCGCGCTCAGCACCCACAGGTTGTTGATGAGGGACCCTCCACAGATGTGCCCCCCTCCTCTGTGGATACTGACCTGCCAGGGCCACGCCCCATCGGGAGCTTCAGCGCCCCCTACGATCCTGGTGTCCAGGGGAGGCCTTCCACACACTGAGGACACAGCACATGTGACGAAAGCCATTCTCAAATAAAAAGCATAAATGATCTGAAAGATAAAACTCACCATCGAGCTGCGCCACAGAGCCTGGAACAGATCACACACAGTTAAACAGAAAAGTCACCACAACACTGACTCACAGACTCCCAGAGGAGAGTACTGTTACATCAATACAAATATTACTCAGTAAAAGTATGCTTTTAGAAAAGTACTAGGAAAAGTACATAGTTACATTTACTTTAGTAACTTTTCTGAGTTCCACTGAGCCAAATATCCCAGTATACATATACTGCACACAGTGTTGGGGAGTAACAGATTACATGTACCAGCATTGCATAATCAGAATACAAATTATAAGTAACTGTATTCAGTTACAGTTACTGTTTCAATAAATGGTAATTGGATTACAGTTACTTTGTTGAAATAAATGGATTACAGGGTGGTATTTACCTGTTTTTGTATTTTGGGCTAAACCAGGACTAAACCAGAACTAAACCAGGTCTAAACCAGGACTAAACCAGGTCTAAACCAGGTCTAAACCAGGACTAAACAGTATGACACTAACAGTAGTGTGGACATAATTTCAGGCAGCAGTGATCTCATATAAAAATAATTTCTCTATCAATATTTTTTTTTAATTTGGTTAAGGAAAGACTGGACTTTTTATAGTCTTTAAGCAGACAAAACATCTGATTTATGTTAAGATCCTAGTCTTTGTTTCTCTACAGTAAACAAAAGTCTGTTCATGGAGACTTGGGCTCAACAGACAATTTGAAGAACAAACAAGATTTTGCAGGATGTGGTTGGTACATTCATGTAGTTTTAAAAAACATGACAATATCAAGTAATCCAATGTATTCAGATTACATTACTCACTTTAAGTAATTTAATGGATTACATTACAAACTACATTTTGGTGTGTGTAATCTGTAATCTGTAGGGGAATACATTTTAAAAGTCACCTTCCCAACAGTGACTGTATAATACTAGTTCTATAAGCAGCTCTTCAAAGGGTCAGAATAAGCCCTCTGTCCAGTGTCTGTGTCTAATTATAAAATGTTTTTTTACCAGAGAATCAGGAAGTGCTTGTTAGCATACTAGTTGTTGTCAGCTTTACTGTAACAGTGAAATTCCACTCTGGTGTCTGGAGTTGTGAAAAGCTTTTATAAACTTTGAACCACTGCAAAGGTGTAAAGTGAAATGTTGTGTTTGTTGTGTGTTTCAGACAGCAGAAGAGTCCACAGAGAAAAGAGCCGAGCTGCTCTCGGCTCTTTTCTCTGTGGACTCTTCTGTGTTTACAAAGGGAGTTTCACTCAACGCTAACGGCAATGCTCATTTTGAGAAATTCTATATTTTACGATGACGCCCCAAACTGAAGTAATCTACATAAAAAAAACAATGGAGTACTCTTTACTTGAACTGTTTCTTCATGGTTGTTTCTTTATATTGTCTGTTTTCACACACGTGTCTTCAGCAGCACATAGAGCTGCACAAGCTGCACTAGCACTGACTCACGACTCATTCAGATCAAAGTGTTTCAGCGTTTCAATAGAAAGTTTTATATTTAGGTCATGTTTATGTTGAATTTAAACTCTTACACTCAGTTCCTTTAATGTAACATGAGCTCAGCACTGTAAGAAGTGTTGGGAAGGTGACTTTTAAAATGTATTCCCCTACACATTACAGATTACATACCCCAGAATGTAGTTTGTAATGTAATCCATTAAATTACTTAAAGTGAGTAACGTAATCTGACTACTTTGGATTACTTGATTTGCTGTAGAGAAGCAAAGACCAGGATATCGTAACATAAGATGTTTTGTCTGTTAAAAGAAAATTTAAAAAAAAACTGACTTTACTGAACCAAATTAAAAATATTATTGATAGAAGACGAGGAGACACGTCCACACAGCAGGATTTAGTCCTGTTAAATCCTGTTTTAGACCTGGTTTTATTCCTGGTTTAGTCCTGGTTTAGACCTGGTTTAGACCTGGTTTTAGTCCTGGTTTAGACCTGGTTTAGACCTGGTTTAGACCTGGTTTAGACCTGGTTTAGACCTGGTTTGGACCTGGTTTAGACCTGGTTTAGACCTGGTTTAGACCTAGTTTAGACCTGGTTTAGACCTGGTTTAGACCTGGTTTGGACCTGGTTTAGTCCTGGTTTAGACCTGGTTTGAACCTGGTTTAGACCTGGTTTAGACCTGGTTTGGACCTGGTTTGGACCTGGTTTGGACCTGGTTTTAGACCTGGTTTAGTCCTGGTTTAGACCTGGTTTGGACGTGGTTCAGTGTCCAGCAATGAGTGGAATTACCGGAAAGAAAAAAAAAAGGGGATATAGCCCAAAATGTAAAAACAAGTAAATGCCGTGTAATCAATTTATTTCAACAAAGTAACTGTAATCCAATTACCCCTCACTGAAACAGTAACTGTAACAGAATACAGTTACTCATAATTTGTACTCTGATTACGTAACTCCGGTACATGTAATCTGTTACTCCCCAACGCTGACTGTAAGTTTCTTATCTCGATGCTTGAATATGAAAGTTCCAGTAAACCCAGCAGTGACGTGTGAGGCTTTGATAAAACAGAGACCACATTCCTCTGAACCCAACACAATGGACAGTTTCAGGTTCATTTGGACAGAGCTGTGGGAGGGGCTCTTTGAACAGACATTTGTCACCACGGAAACTCAAACTCAAGGAGGGGCGCTGTGTCAAACGTCTGTTTTTGTGCTGATGACAGAAGGACAAATGTGTGCCCAGGTCCACGCGCTGCTGATGGACGTAAATGTTCACATTTAAAGGGCCGTGTTACATAACAGGGACTTGTGTGAGAATGTTGTCACCTCCTCAAAAACCCACCTGGACTTGTGTTTTGTTTCATTCACATGTTTAAGTAACACTCTATTTTTAGTCTACATCTCCAAAGCTCCGAATGCCCTGTTCCACCTTGTGATGTCATGAAGTGGTAGTTTTCGAGTTAAGAGCTCCTTTTATCTTTAGTTCAGTGGAGATAATTTCAGGGCTGAAATGATCAAATGATCCAAATGATTCCAGATAAGATGTGTGTATTTTAAAAACACAGTGGAGCACTTTCTGTATTACCACATGACATCACAAGGTGGAGTGTTTTCTGTTTGAGAGAAGGAGTCTAAATGTGTAGGGTTTGTGTGTTAAAAATGTGAATGAATCAAAACACAACTGCAGGTGTGTTTGTGATGAGGAAACGACGTTAGAACTGATCAAATCACCTAATGGAAGCTTTAATGACATCACAAGGTGGAACAGAGTGTTTGAGAGAGAGATGGATATGCTCACTGTCAGTGACAGTTATTTATTTTGAATTTGAAGATGTGTAACTGTTAAACTATTTGTTCAAGAGTTTCATGTTTACTTTAATAACACAAAGATATGTGTGTGTGTAAACATGAGTGCTCCTGACACACACACACACACACACAGACACACACGCGCACACACACACACACACACACACACACACACATGCGCGCACGCGTCTCCTAAACTGTAAACTGTCTGCAGTGGCCCAAAACTTCTTCCTCATTTACCTTCTTCACTCAGAGTCCTAATCACTCACCTCCATGACTTTATAAGAGCTTTATACAACTTTCACACATTAAAGCAGAGTTTTGCACTTTGCGTTGCTATTTTTATTTTTTATTTTTAATGATAAACGCTCTGTAAATAAAGCTTGATTGATTGATAGAGCAGAGTTTCATCGACACACACTACTAACACTAAATCTATCTTTGAATTTGTTTCCTGTTAGCAATGAATAAAAACATTGACATTTTAAATGTTTTTCACTTTTTATTAAATATGGTAAATGCATATTTGTTAGAACAAGTTTTTTAATTTAAGTAGTTTTTGTTTTTTGTTTTTTTTTAATGTATGTAAATGATTGCCTAACTTTGTTTTAAGTTTTGTAATCCTACTTTTGAAATTACTGTAAATTAAAAATATGTGCAAGTATCACTTAAAATCTTTTATCTTCTATTAATTATCCTTAATAAAATATTTTAAATGGTCACATTTTTCTATAGTGCTTTTCCACCTTCAAGGCACTCAAAGCACTTTACAACAAGGAACCACTCACCCACTCACACACACATTCACACACCAGTGTACGCAGACACTGTGGGCAAGGTGGGTTAAGTGTCTTGCCCAAGGACACAACGACAGCATTCATCTGTGGGAGCTGGAATCACACCAGCCAACCTGTGGGTCAGTGGATCTGACCGCTCAACCTGAGATGTTTATGTCGAGAGCTGGATTCGAACCGCCAACCTTCAGATCAGTGGACAAACGCTCTACCAACTGAATACTGCCGCCCCATTTTAAGGAATTATTTTTAATGAAATACTAAATGTAATTAAAGTTGTTGTGTGATTATTACCCATTTAATTTGATTTACATTAATTAAAAATCATAAACTATAAACTTTTTAGAAACGTTAGGCAACTATTCACCTCATTTTTTTTATTACTGCTTCTTTCCTGATTTTTGGACAGTAGTATCATAAACACTTCACACAGTCGGTGGAATTATTTGGACCTGAAGAGCTGCTGCACTGGGGCCACGCACATTTCCTGACAGGACGTTTAACATCCATGTTCAGTTTCCGATGTTCAGTTTCCAGCTGCTGTTTTCAGATTCTAGAGTTGTGACAGTGTCAGACTCTCATGGGACACACCGCAGTTTTCCCCACTGAACACATTTAACTTTGTCATGAAATCTCCTAAAGGTAAACTCACAAATACTGAACCTTATATTTTCGATTATCAGCAAAATCCAAGAACTCACTGTATTACAACAACATTTTGCGTTTGAACAATATTCATTTACACTGGTCTATAGCCAGTGTTGGGGAGTAACAGATTACATGTACCGGCATTACGTAATTAGAGTACAAATTATGAGTAAATGTATTCAGTTACAGTTACTCTTTCAATGAGTGGTAATTGGATTACAATTACTTTGTTGAAATAAATGGATTACACAGAGGTATTTTCCTGTTTTCACATTTTGGGCTAAACCAGGACTAAAACCAGAACTAAAACTAGGACTAAAACTAGGGACTAAACCAGGACTAAACCAGGTCTAAACCAGGTCTAAACCAGGTCTAAACCAGGACTAAAACCAGGACTAAAACCAGAACTAAAACTAGGACTAAAACTAGGACTAAACCAGGACTAAACCAGGTCTAAACCGGGACTAAACCAGAACTAAAATCAGGACTAAACCAGGACTAAAACCAGAACTAAACCAGGACTAAAACCAGGACTAAACCAGGTCTAAACCAGGACTAAACCAGGACTAAAATCAGGACTAAACCAGAACTAAACCAGGTCTAAACCAGGTCTAAACCAGGACTAAACCCAGGACTAAACCAGGACTAAAACCAGGACTAAACCAGGTCTAAACCAGGTCTAAAACCAGGACTAAACCAGGACTAAAACCAGGACTAAACCAGGTCTAAACCAGGACTAAACCAGAACTAAAATCAGGACTAAACCAGAACTAAACCAGGTCTAAACCAGGTATAAACCAGGTCTAAACCAGGACTAAAACCAGGACTAAACCAGGACTAAAACCAGGACTAAACCAGGTCTAAACCAGGACTAAACCAGAACTAAAATCAGGACTAAACCAGAACTAAACCAGGTCTAAACCAGGTCTAAACCAGGTCTAAACCAGGTCTAAACCAGGACTAAACCAGGACTAAAACCAGGACTAAACCAGGACTAAAACTAGGACTAAACCAGGACTAAACCAGAACTAAACCAGGTCTAAACCAGGACTAAAACCAGGACTAAACCAGGACTAAAACCAGGACTAAACCAGGTCTAAACCAGGTCTAAACCAGGACTAAACCAGGACTAAACCAGGACTAAACCAGGTCTAAACCAGGACTAAACCAGGACTAAAACCAGGACTAAACCAGGACTAAACCAGAACTAAACCAGGACTAAACCAGAACTAAACCAGGACTAAACCAGAACTAAACCAGGTCTAAACCAGGTCTAAACCAGGTCTAAAACCAGGACTAAAACCAGGACTAAACCAGAAATCAAGGAAGAATTTTCAGGATGTGGTTGTCACATTCATGTAGTTTTATAAAACATGACAATATCAAGTAATCCAAAGTATTCAGATTACGTTACTCACTTTAAGTAATTTAATGGATTCTGTTACAAACTACATTTTGGAGTATGTAATCTGTAATCTGTAGGGGAATACATTTTAAAAGTCACCTTCCCAACACTGTCTATAGCAAGAGTCTTCAGCCTTTTTCCTCCAGTGAGCTCCTTTACAAAAGCAAAATGCTGCAAAGAAACTGAGTATAAAGAGCCACAGCGAGACAGACTTATGACTTTTCCTAAATTTTGTCACTTTGTGGACATTTACTGTTTTTGAACGAAATCTCAAACTTCTGATCCACAAATGTTTCTCCTTCTCATTACTGGATCGGGATCCGTGCCACAAATTTGTCTTATTAAGCTTGTAAAGTCCTTTGAACAGTCACTTTTTTAGGGTAGAATAATGCTCCACTATTACCAAAAGATAAGTATGACACTGATTTATTCATTCTAGCAGAGAAGACCGTGAACTTGGAGCCAGTTTTGGTTTCATGAGGATAGGCCCAGTAATAACAGAGACATGAACTATTAACCAGGTCATACATCTGTATCTGACACTTACAGTTCTGTCTCAGTTCTGTTTCAACTCAAGACTTTAGAGTGTTGTAAAGTGAACCAGCCTTTTGGGTCTAAATCTCTCATTTTGTTCTTGTAGCTCCAATATCTTGTGTTGACCCATGTCTATCTAATTCTCAAAACTTACAGTAATGAAAGAGAGCACAGTAAACAGAACGTGTGAATGGATTATAGATTAACAGAATATATATTAACAAATTTTCCAATTCTGAGTCTTTAAAACAAAGCCTCACCTGTGAAGAGCAGAGAGAAGATGCACAGGATCCACATGGCTGCGACTATGGCACTAAGCACCTGTCGCATTCACCTGTTCACCTGCACACTTGACAGGAGGCGGGGCTTACCTGTCCCAGACACGCCCACCTGTCATTCCTTAGCAGATGATTGTTGTGACAGCTCTGCTCTGGTGGAAAAGGAAAAACTAGTTTCAGAATGAAGTGGAATTCAGGCCTTAGTCATTATTACTTAAGCCTTAGGCCTGACTTATAATCTAATTTTGAGACTAAATAAAAAGGTTTTGAAATTCTAAACAAAAAAACTAAGTACAAAAAGTATTTAAGCAAACCAGCTCTGAGATTTATGTAGTGACCAGATCAGAGAAAGTCTGTTTAAAAAAAACAACAGACAATGAGCAGGTTTAATTTTAGCATAAAAACTGGCAACCCAAACGAAAGACTCATGTGAGGCTCATTCTGCTCTCTGACTGGAGAATTATCTTGAGCAAAAACATCAAATTATAACATGTGTACTTTGTGTAAAAGTTGTAGGTGTGAACATGTGTACTTTGTATAAAAGTTGTATTAGGTGTGAACATGTGTACTTTGTGTAAAGGTTGTAGGTGTGAACATGTGTACTTTGTGTAAAAGTTGTATTAGGTGTGAACATGTGTACTTTGTGTAAAAGTTGTATTAGGTGTGAACATGTGTACTTTGTGTAAAAGTTGTAGGTGTGAACATGTGTACTTTGTGTAAAAGTTGTATTAGGTGTGAACATGTGTACTTTGTGTAAAAGTTGTAGGTGTGAACATGTGTACTTTGTGTAAAGGTTGTATTAGGTGTGAACATGTGTACTTTGTGTAAAAGTTGTAGGTGTGAACATGTGTACTTTGTGTAAAAGTTGTATTAGGTGTGAACATGTGTACTTTGTGTAAAAGTTGTAGGTGTGAACATGTGTACTTTGTGTAAAAGTTGTATTAGGTGTGAACATGTGTACTTTGTGTAAAAGTTGTATTAGGTGTGAACATGTGTACTTTGTGTAAAAGTTGTATTAGGTGTGAACATGTGTACTGTGTGTAAAAGTTGTATTAGGTGTGAACATGTGTACTGTGTGTAAAAGTTGTATTAGGTGTGAACATGTGTACTTTGTATAAAAGTTGTATTAGGTGTGAACATGTGTACTGTGTGTAAAAGTTGTATTAGGTGTGAACATGTGTACTTTGTATAAAAGTTGTATTAGGTGTGAACATGTGTACTGTGTGTAAAAGTTGTATTAGGTGTGAACATGTGTACTTTGTATAAAAGTTGTATTAGGTGTGAACATGTGTACTTTGTGTAAAAGTTGTATTAGGTGTGAACATGTGTACTTTGTGTACAGACTCAGGTGGTTTGTGTTTTCAGGAGCTGATTCTGTAGCTCAGGGGTCGGTAACCTTAAATACTCAAAGAGCCAACTGGAGCGTTTCTCACAGAAAAGAATTACCCCCCGGAGTCACAAACCCTTTTGATTCTAAACTGAGGAGAACGGTGCATTTCATTTGTGAACCTGTGTGCTCTGTTTAAAAGACTCTAGTGTGTTGCATTTATGAAATGGGAGAATATCTGTTCATTCATATTTACAGTCTGTGGTCAAACCCACAGACAGGTGCATTCCACTGCCATGTGTCAGGGCAAAAAATGTGTTTGTTTATGAACGACAGACACAACAAGTGCACACGACAGGCTCACGTACGATAAGTGCACACACGACAGGCTCAAACATGACAGGTGCATACACGACAGGTGCATGTGACAGGTGCATACACGACAGGTGCATGTGACAGGCCTGAATCTTAAAATATCTTAAATATCTTTTTATATATTTAAGAATATTTGGGGCACCCAAAGTTTGGAAAACACTGGGCTAACATGTGACAGGTGCACATGTGGTGCACACATGTGTGACAGGTGCACATGTGTGACAGGAGAAGAGGCTTCACTCTGTTCAAAACTTACAGTGTAACTCGTGATTTCATGGAAATAGAAAGTTACCATAGATACGGAGTATAGATTTCTGTGGATACTGTGGAGGCATTGACCATGCTGACTTTACTCATTTAAAGCCATATTTTGGCACTTTTCTAGTGACTTAATTCAGTGACGTAATTCATTCTCTTTTTGTGTGAGGCTTGAAACACAACAGGACAATTCAGCACATTTCAAAGATTGTTGATTTATTTAACTTTGATTTCACGCACACACACTCACACTCACACACCCCCACACGCACACATACACACACGCACACGCGCGCACACACACACACACACGCACACGCACACACACACACACGCACACGCGCGCGCACACACACGCACACACACACACCACACACACACACACACACACACGCACACACACGCACACACACACACACACACACACGCACACACACGCGCACACACACACACACACGCACACACACGTCAAAGGGTGCGAGGACATTTGGGTAATCCCACTGCACATAATTGTACTTTGTTTGTTTGTTTGTTTGTTTGCTGTGATATTATTGCCTGAACTACGATGTGTTAGAAACACAGTGCAGTGGAGGATATGAGAGTAATTAACCAAACCCCTCGTCAAACCCCTGACTGTTTTTATTGGGCATAAGGGCCTGAAACAGAAAAATACCTGGATCTGACTCTCAGCGGGAATGGAAACAGGAAGTAAAACATTTTGGAAATCAGCACCAGAGGAGCAGAGGACACGGACGACGAAGGAGAACGAAAATCATTTACTGATTTTTAGTAGAACTTCTTACATCCAAAATCATTTCCTGCTGTACGTTAAATACTCTAACAGCCTCTTACTGGTCTCTCCATACGAGCTGTGAGATACTGCAGTACATCCAGAACACTGCAGCTCAGGTCCTGACTTGAACGAGCACATACGTCCTGGTCTCAGGTCTCTGCACTGCCCCCTGTCTGTGGCTCAGAGACTTTAAAGCAGCTCTGCTTGTACAAGTCTCTTCATGGCCGAACACCAAAGTGTCATTTGAACCATGTGCACTGTGAGGAGCTCAGGGAGCGGCCTCCTGCTGGTGCCCAGAGTCACGACTAAACAAGGTAAGTCAGCCTTTCAGGTTCACACAGTTAAACCCTGGAACAGTCTGAACATGTGAGACACACTCGACTTTGACTCTGTTTAAATCCAGACTCACACGGTTCTGTTTCACTGTGCAGATGACTGAAAGGTTTTCATTCCTCGCTCTTCTCTCTAATTTATGTAATTAATGTCTCTCTCTCTTTTTTGAAATTTTAATCTTGAATTTTATGATGATTATTTATGTTTTGATTTGTTTTGATCGTGATTTTAATGTTTTTCTTATTCTATAAAGCACTTTGAATTACTTTGTGTACAAACTGTGCTATACAAATAAACTTGCCTTGCCACTGCATGTGGCTCGGAGCTCCGAGACCGAGACACACACCAGATCTCTCTGAAGCGAGATTGAGACGCACCATCTCACCCAGTGGCCTTCCCACATAGCCCCTCCACAAGGTACGGACAGTGCTGGCCGGTCCCTATCCCCCCAAGCGGAGACCAGCCTCCAGCAGACACGTTTCTCAAACCCGCCTAAGAGCCTCACTGACCTCAGGAGCTCGGACATGGAGGGCCACTGTCTGGGCCTGCCTCCAGGGCCCATGGGCCCGGCGCACACAGGGCGACCTGGTCGGTCCTGCCAGTAGCAGATACTTGTTCACAGATGAAGTGGTGCAGGTCTAAGTCCACACGGTCACTTCAGGGAAACTGCCAGTGGCTCATTAAATCAGTTCCGGTTCCTTTGATCGCTCCACCGTTACTCAGACCTCGTTTGGCCACGGTTCGAGGTTCGCCCTATGTCTTCTTCACTTACAGGAAATGAAATCATTAGTGTCCCGTCTCATGATGCATTTAGAATAGTTGGTTTGGACCTACTGTCTGTGGTTTGGACCCAAGTGTTAATTCACACCAGAGGGACCGCACCAGAGTTTGGCATTTTGTGTGGAATCAAGTGGACCGAGACCACTTCTTTTTTGAGGTCTCAGTCTACTTGATTTAGTGCAGATCCAAGTGCAATTGAAGCTTTCAGAATGAAAATGAACCCAACTAAGAGCTTCTGGTTCAGATGGAACATTTAGTGCCCCAACTGGTGTCGGTGTGAAAGCACCCAAAAAAGCAGAAGTGACTTGAGAGTGTGTGTATTCAGCCTGCAGCTGAACGCTCTCAACACACTTTTCCATTCCAAACTAAAAAACATTTGGTCTGAGAGCGTCTTTAAATCATGTTCACAGGCTCCAGCTTTGACACCTGTCTGGAAACATCCTCCTGAACCAACCAGTGTAATTTATGTCAGGAATTTTACACAGCAGCTACAACTACTTAAATCAACTCATGTTCCTGTTATCAGAAGAGGAACTCTATCACGTACACACGTACACAAGCAGGAGACAAAACCATTTTCATATCTCTGATATCATTTCCTCATCACAGACCGACCTGGACGTGTGTTTTGTTTCATTTGCACGTTTTGCACACAAACCTGCACATTTAGTTCTTCTCTCAAACAAAAAACACTCTGTTCCACCTTGTGATGTCATGTGATAATACAGGAAGTGCTCCACTGTGTTTTTAAACTCCATACATCTTCACTAGAATCATCTGGATGATTTCAGCCCTGGAATTGTCAATCTCTACTGAACTACTTTCATAAACAGAGGAATAAGAAAAAAACATTTAACCTCTTAACCTGTATGCAGAACGACCGGGCCACAAAGCCGAGGTTCCATTTGCACACAGAGTCTGATAATGAAGACATTTCTGCTGTGGAAAGTTTATTAAAGAACACATCAAGTGTTATTATGTTATAATTGAACAATTATTTCACAACATTCATCTAATAAAAGAAACAAGTGCACTGACTTCTGTGTGGGAAAACCCTGGTTTCCAGTGGGATCTGTCACCATAAACATCATGTCAACAAAGCGGTGCAGGCTGTGGGCCCCTCCTCTGAAGAGCTGCACACACTAGAGCAGAGGATTTTTTACATTTGGAGCAAAATGGCGACGCA